ATCACAGTTCGGATGACTCTTCAAACTGCAATATCCCCATCCCTCTTTCAGAGTGCAGGCACTGAACACACCCCCTCCAGGAGATAAGTCAGGTTAACTGGTTTCTGTAAATCTTTTCATAAATGTTACTTTGCTCACACTCCAACAGCGCACCAGGTCATAAAAACCACTTACCTTCACTCACCCCTGAATAACACAAGTCTTTTGGTTGCTCAAGACTCTAACACTCAAAACTTTTTTAGGCCCGTCTCCTTCCAAATCTTAGTGGGACGACTCCTACCCTTGGTTCCCTCCACCCCAGAATTATTTATTCTTGTAATCATCCTTTTTTGCTACATTCTCTCTAAATGTCCAAACCACCTCAACAACCCCTCACCTCCTGGGCCCTTTTTGTAGCATTCAGATATTCAAATATCCAAGCTCCGAATTCTCTGGATGCTATTCACACCACACATTGCCTTCAACCACGACATCTCCACTGCCTCCAGCCTTCTCCTTCAGCAATCTTTAAAACGCAAGCCTCATACTCATTCAACAGTGTTGGTACATTTACCTTTTTAGCTCCATGGATCGAGTTCTTTGTTTTCACAGATGCTTCAGTACACCACCCACTCTTTTCCCCTCACTAATTTTATGGTACACCTCCTCTTTCACAGACACGTCCATCAACAAGTCCACTCTCAAATATCTGAACAAATTTACTTCCTTCATTCTCCCTCCCTCTTAGATTTTTTGTTATTCCCATCACCTTGCTCTTTACTATGCTTACTTTTAAAACCTCCTTTTACTTTCCAAATTCCTCCATCAACCTCTGCAACTTTTTTTCAGTCTACCAAAAGTACCGTGTGAGTGGCAAAAAAACTAACTGTGGCAACTTTCACTGGGTATCAAATTCTTTATCTTATAATCCCACACCTCTCCCCAATACCTTAACACTCACTTCACTCCTCATCTAAAAACTCTACTGCTATTAGATACCTACCAGCAAATTCCATAGATGTAATTAGATCTATGGGAAGGGTTCCACTCGTCTTGCCTACAAGGGGAGTGGCAATGAATGGATGTCTAGGGCAATTGGTGTAAATTGTTGGCTAGACAGGTACTGCAAGGAATTTCCAATCCCATTCATTGATAACTGGGACAAATTTTATGGCAAACGTGATATGTATGCAAGGGATGGGGTACATCTCTGAAGGGGCCATCACTGACTTGTCTAAGACTTTAAACCGATAGATTATAGAGGTATGGGTGTGTGTGGGAAACAGTCAAGCTTCAGTACTAGAGTTGAAAACAGCAGATATTACCAGAATTCCTCAGGGATATGTTTCATATACAATATTCAAAATAAGTTGCTTGTAAAGGCAAAGCAATTGATCAACAAAGAGAGACAGTAGAGGGCAGAGACTGACTAGCTCCCTTAAGGTTTACTATGCTAATAGTAGGAGAGTAAGAAATAAGATAGATGAACTTTAGATTACTTGCATGTGTAGGTAATATAGATATTATTCCTATAACGGAGACCTGGTGCAACCTGAAAGATAGAGAAATGCCTTCTGAATGCCACATACAAGGCGCCATAAATTATTCCACACTGATAGGGTCAACAGGAAGGGTGGTGGAGTGGCGATGTATGTCAGAGATAATTTAAATTGTTGTGTTACACTAGATATAAGATTAGAAGCATCGGACACAGAATCTGGCAGCAGTTTCTCGAGGGTCGTCACTAATAAATTTTGGGTGTGATTATTAAGCCCCCAAATCTTGATATGGAGTGCAGTAAGCTGCTATGGTATAAAATTCATAAGGCGCCTAGATATGAAAATATCGTGTTGATTGGAGATTTTAGCTATAGGCAAATTGATTGGAACAGTATGAAGATTCTGGATTGCTTTTAGAATAGTTTGTGACAACCAACTAGAGGAAACATTCTGTTTGACCTGGTTCTTGCCAACAAGGAATCACTAATTAATAATCAAGGAATCACTAATTAATAATCAAGGAATCACTAATTAATAATCATAGAATCACTAATTAATAATCAAGGACTCACTAATTAATAATCTTAGTTTCAATATATCATGGAATTACCCAAATAACTGCAATCAGGTCTCTGTCCCAGCCTTCAACTTGGCTGATTTCATGAGACTGAGAAATTACATGGCTGGGCTAAACTGGAATGACCTGAGTATGGGTCAGGTAGGTGGTGTTGGTTGCCAATATGACATTTTTCAGAGCAAGTTCTAGCTGCCCAGACAACTTATGTTCCAAGTAGGGAAATTAGATCAACAAAGAATGATCCCAAATGGATAAACAACAGATTAAAACATCTCATTAGTCAAAAGATAGGCATATATAGGCATATCAAAAGAGGGGATAGGCAGTTAAGAAATCAATATATTCAATTGAAGAGAGAAATAATAAAGGGAATAAGAAAAGCTAAAAGAGATTATAAGGCTAAAGTGGCAAGGGATTCGAAGACTAACCCTATAGGTTTCTTTCAGGTATATAGAGGTAAGATTAAGGACAAGATTAGCCTACTCAAAAGTAACTCAGATCAGATCACTGACAGTGACAAGGAAATGTGTGAAATTTTAAACTCTTATTTCCTCCAAGTTTTTACGCAGGAAGAGGCTAGCGAAATTCCAGAAATAATAAATTATGTAGAACAGGACGATAATAAATTGTGCACGATTGGGGTAATTAGGATTTTAAAGGAATGTAAAGAGTAGCTTAGCAAACCCTTGGCTAATCTTTTCAACATATCACTAGAAATTGGCATAGTGCTAGACGAGTGGAAAATGGCAAATGTAATTCCTGGTTACATAGCAGGTGACAGGTCCTTAGCTTCGAACTATAAACCAATAAGCCTTACCTCCATACCGGGAAAATTTACGGAATCAATAATTGATGAGGCAATTCGTAGCTATTTTGATAGTCATAAATTTATTAATGAAATTCAGGACGATTTTACAAAGGGGCGTTCTTTCCTTACGAATTTACTAACTTTTGTCACCACAGTATTTGAGGAGGTAGATCATGATAATGAATATGATATTGTGTATATGGATTTCAGTAAGGCTTTTGATAGAGTTCCACATCAGAGCTTATTGAGGAAAATTAAGACACACGGAATAGGAGGAGAAATTTTTTCCTGGGTAGAGGCATGGTTGACAGATAGGCAACAGAGAGTTTGTGTCAGTGGGGAGAAATCAGAAAGGCTGCGCATCACAAGTGGTGTTCCACAGGGGTCAGTGTTGGGCTCATTATTGTTCATAATTTATAATAAAGTCACTGATGAGGCAATAAATAGCAACATAATCAAGTTTGCTGATGACACCAAAATAGGTCCTCTAATTGATTCTAATGAGGATATTAGAGCACTCCAGGAAGATTTGATTGGATTGATGCATTGGTTGGAGAAGTGGCAAATGCAGTTTAATATAGACAAATGCAAGGTTCTAAACATTGGACAAGAAAATACCCATCCCGCATTTAAACTAAACAATGTAGATCTTAATACAGTGATACCTCTCATATCCGAACTATATGGCAGAGACCAGTTCGGAAACATGGAGTTTCCGGATATGTGAAGGGGGAAAAAACTACACATCCGTACCGTCATATAGCCATCGGCGACGGCGTTGTAGGTTTAAAAAAACAAGTCCAACGTCATCTGGCTGTGGGACCAGACACTCTGGGCTCGAGTAACAGCCTCCCGGATTTCACGGACCACAGGACCATAACTTTTCAAATGGGCTGTGGACAGTGGATGCTCCAAATATTCCTAAAGTGTTTCGACATCTGCCCTTGATGCTCAAGTTTTGGGTCTTGGAGGGATTGGGGCGTCGTCGTCGTCGTCGTCGTCGTCGTCGTCGTCGTCGTCGTCGACGTCGTCACTTTCGGAATGTTTCGGGTGTAACACTGATTCTGCAATCTCTGCATCTGTTAGAGATTGCACACCAGGGTTGTCTTCGCCACACTCTAGCCAGTCCTGCACGTCGTCTTTGTAGTTTTTCCCCCAGCCTTGAGTAACTGACAATGGAAACCTATCGCCTCGAATCTATCGAAATCAATAAATGGATCGATTCCGTGAAAGAGCCGATTCCGGCCATTGTCGAGGGTTGAAGGCGGAACATCAATCCAGGTCCGGGCGAGGGTTGAAGGCGGGACATCATTCCAGGCCCGGGCGAAGGTTGAAAGCGGGACATCATTCCAGGCCCGGGCGAGGTTATGAATAACGGTACACAGGTTGTACTTTATAAGGTTGTCCAGGGTCAAGGCTCCCACATCTAGGCCTTTTTCGTCAATTACCACCATCATGTCCTCCAGGAATTTTCGGCGATATAGCCTCTTGAAGGACACAATCACACCCTGATCCATGGGTTGGATGAGTGATGTGGTATTTGGTAGCAAGAACATAACTCTGTTACGGCCATGATGAGCATCCAGTTCAGACACGTGGAGATGTGCAGGAGCACTCTTAAAGAATTTAAAAATAAGTGGCTTATTTTCCTCTCAGTGGAAATTAGATTACAGCAGCACATAAAAATAACCGTATTACCTTATACTGGAAATAACATTAAAACAACTCATTGATTAACATTTGAAAATTATTAGTAAATGTTACGATTACTTTTTCTAACACATTTGTTTCCTAGGAAGATAAAATGATGGTTCATTGATTAAAATTGTTTGTGGGAATTTTTGTATCTTCTCGAAAACGCAATGTTTCAAGACGACCCTCCAGCTGTCCCTAAATCTGAGTCACTTTTACGTGGTGTGGGACTGTGAGGAATGTGTAACTACTGTCTCCTAAACAAGACATTTTGAAGAAGAACCCAGCACTTTTTTTTTTTTTTTGGCTTAATTGATAATAGCTTAGTTCCCCCTCATACAGAGCCATTAGAATTAATATACCCAAGTGAGAAAACATTGTTATGGGGTACTTTAATGGTAAAGTGGGAGAAACTGTCGTTGAGGACGTGGTACATAAGTTCGAAGCACCAGGGATCTCTAACTGAACTATACATAGAAAGTGAATAAGTACAAGAGATATTATACGTGACGTAATAATGGATAGACTTCGGAATTTGCAAGTTTTCAGAGGGAACAAAAGGTATATCTTGCACCAACTGAGCCCACGGAAGTCACCGAGATTATAAAGTCACTTAAAAACAACTCAGAGAATCTGTCTCATGCCCCACCATTATTGTACAAGCGAGCGGCCCATTTCCTTTCGCATGCTATTTCATTACTTTTTAACAAGTCACTAGAAACTAGCACCTTCCCGAAACTAACGACGGCAAGGGTTACACCAATACATAAAGGTGGTGACCCTACAGATTTAAACAACTATAGGTCAATATCAAACTTACCATTGCTATCCAAAATCTTTGAGAAACTCGTGCACAGGAGACTATATTCATTTATAACGGCACAAAACATACACAACCCCTGCCAATTTGGATTCAGGAAAAATAAAAGCACTAATGATGCAATCATAAAAATGCTAGATCTGCTTTACACAGCATTGGAAAATAAGGAATATCCACTAGGAATTTTTATTGACCTAAGAAAAGCTTTTGACACAGTAGACCACGGCATCCTACTCCACAAATTTGACCATTATGGTATAAGAGGCCATGCGCTTGCATATTTCAAATCTTACCTTACTAATATATAATAATAATATAAATGACCATAATTTTTAAAGGGGTGGACCGGTAAGCCAGCGGAAGGCCTCGGTCATATGACCAAAAGCTCCAAAGGCGGGTCATCATCTGACTAAGACCCGCGTCAGGAAACATTTGTCCTGTTTCCTGACGAACCTTACCTAACCTAACCTTACTAATAGGTATCAGTATGTCACCATTAAAGACACAGCATCAACAACACGGCCACTTGATACTGGAGTTCCACAGGGAAGTGTCCTTGGTCCCCTGCTCTTCCTCATATACATCAATGATCTTCCAAACGTATCCCAACACCTGAACCCCATTCTCTTTGCTGACAACACTACTTATGTCATCTCTCACCCTAATCTTGCCACCCTCAACACCATTGTTAACGAGGAGCTGATCAAAATATCTACTTGGATGACAGCCAATAAACTTACGCTTAACACTGACAAAACCTACTATATTATGTTTGGTAGCAGAGCAGGAGTTGCGCAAATTAACATTAAGATCGACAACACTCTAATTGCCAGACATAATGAGGGCAAATTCCTAGGCCTATACCTCGACAACTACCTGAATTTCAGCACCCATATCTAACACATAACCAAAAAAGTATCCAAAACGGTAGGGCTCCTCTCCAAGATACGATACTATGTGCCGCAAAATGCCCTTCTCACACTATACCACTCACTTATTTATCCATACCTCACCTATGCTATTTGTGCTTGGGGATCAACTGCAGCAATACACCTAAAGCCAATAATAACCCAACAAAAAGCCGCAGTAAGAATAATCACTAAATCCCATCCCTGGCAACCCCCCCCCACTCTTCATATATCTAAACTTACTCCCTGTTCAGTACATCCACACTTACTACTGTGCAATCTACATCTACAGGACCTTAAATTCCAATATTAACCTTGACCTAAAACGCTTTCTTGATAGTTGTGACAGAACCCACAGGCATAACACCAGACACAAACGTCTCTATGACATTCCCCGCGTCCGACTAAACCTTTACAAAAAATCAGTGTTTGTCAAAGGCCCTGAAATCTGGAACACCCTACATGAAAACTCTAGAACTGCAGACACATTCATCACCTTCAAAACTACCATTAGAAAACATCTTATCTCCCTGATACACCCCTTCAACTAATTACACGAATACCACCTGGTGGTTCACACACTCACCCATTTGACCATAAACAGAAATATCAATCTCAATCTTAAAATAATGAATCCTAACTAGTCATAAGTTGGCCTGTGATACTCCAATACTGAAACTATGTATTGTGCCAAAACAAAAGCATTCACATTGCTAAACTCACAAACTAGTATTTAGTCACTTAGCCATAATACCAACTTACCTCATAATTTGTAATATTTTAAATTTAAGAATTAATCTAAGTCTGCCAGAAATGCCTAGCCATGCTAGGTGTTCTAGTGGTACACTGTAATTATTTTTTAACTACATGTAAACCACACAATAACCAAATTCCGTAAACTCAGCATTGTAATCCTTATAGAGAATAAACTTTGAATTTGAATTTGAATTGAATTTGAATTATTTTAGCTACAGTGAGAGTCAGAGGTAGAGTACAAGGAGACTGTCATCAGTGGGTAAGAGTAAAGCGAAAGTTAATTTATTAAAGGAGATAGTTCGGATAAGATGTAAGCAACTATTACCAGAAAGGTTAGCTAGAGAGAGAGAGAGAGAGAGAGAGAGAGAGAGAGAGAGTATATATTTGTCCCATCCCTTTTTAAAGCTACCCAAGTGTCCTTGAGTAAAAAAATTGGACAAATATACGAGTAGACTCATATACTTGTCCAATCTCTTTCAAAGCTACCCAAGAGTCCTAGTCTCTATCACCCTACTCGGAAGATTGTCACATGCAGGTTCAGATCCAACCTATCCAGCATTCTGCATCTGACTCCATCCTATAAATACTCACGTACCTTTCACCCAGGTAGCTCTTTTGTGGCTTGATAAAGGCCACTCTGTGGGCGAAACGTTGTCAATAAGGGTTCACATTATTTGCTTCTGTGCTTATTTTTCCATCTTGTAAGAGTGAGGAAAAGCCAGATGTATCAGTAATTCTACCTACTGCCTCGCGGGGATTTATCCCGTGCCTCAAGGGGATTTATCCTACTGCCTTAAGGGAATGTATCCCCTTTCCCATCTGTCCCAGCTGGGACAGATGGGATCAATACACATGTTAAAAAGTAGGTGGATACATAGTTTTGGAGTGATTGGAGAATTTGTTTAATATATGCATGAAAGGGGAAGTGTACTTAGGGGCTGACAGAGAGCATTCAAAGTTACTTTGTATAATAAAGGAAAAGGGAATACAAGGAAATGCTCGAATTAAAGGGGAATAAGTCTGCTCGGTATATGATTACAAAATGGTAGATTTATTTTTTAAAGATTTAAGGGTAAAACTGGAAGTAGGATTGCAGAGAAAAAAACATGAGATTTAAGAAGGGTAGGAATATGTACATAAGAACATAAGAAAGAAGGAACACTGCAGCAGGCCTACTGGCCCATGCAAGGCAAATCCAAGTTACCTCCCGACTTAACCCAATGACCCACCTAGTCAGGTCAGGTCACATCCACTCAAGGAAGGAGCACGGCACCAGACCCAGCAGCACAAGCTAGTCAGGTCCAACTCACACCCACTCACACTCACTCATGTATTTATCTAACCTATTTTTAAAACTACACAACATTTTAGCTTCTATGACGGTACTCGGGAGTTTGTTCCACTCATCCAAAACTCTATTACCAAATCAGTGCTTTCCTATATCCTTCCTGAATCTGAATTTTTCCAACTTAAAACCATTGCTTCAGTCCTGTCTTGGCTAGATATTTTTAGCATGCTATTTACATTCCCTTTATTTATTCCCGTTTTTCATTTATACGCCTTAATCGTATCTCCCCTAATTCTACCTTCTAGAGAGTGCAAATTCAGGGCCCTCAGTCTATCCACATAGGGAAGATTCTGATACATGGGATCAACTTTGTCATCCTCCTTTGTATGTTTTCCAGAACTGTGCAGCATAATCTAAATGAGGCCTAACCAAAGATATATAGAGTTGAAGGACAACCTGAGGACTTCTATTATTTATACTTCTAGATATGAAGCCAAGAATTCTGTTAGCTTTATTGCGAACACTAATGCACTGTTGTCTTGGTTTTAGATTACTGCTAACCAGAACTCCCAAACTCTTTTCGTAGTTAGTAACATAGTGATACCTCGCATATCGGGCCTGCCATTATCCGAACCTGGCCAATATCCGAACAGGCCCTGGGAAAGGGCAAAGTTCTAAAATACGGCGGAAGCCGGAAGGCCACTAGGAGCCGAGCCAGACCGAGACTGAAAATAAGCCGAGACCATGTTAAGGCGCTCTTGCTCCTTAAACGAATTTCCACTTACCTAAGCTTACACTAAAATTCAAAATAATCCAACCATAGGTTACATTTATGTCTAAATAAACTGCAAGACATACAACAGAAAAATTTATTGGAACAGTTGAAAATGTGTATCAGCCTACTTTTTGCACTGCTTGTTTTTAATAGCGTAGTATGTAATTTAAATACTACAAAACTATAACATTAGTAATATTAAAATGATTGTAATTATTTAACTTTATTTCCTGAATTTAAAAATCTGCAATTGTAATGTTTCTGAATATATTTGGATATAAATTAGTATATGACTTTGGTAACGCCTAATGCACATTTGAAGGGACCAAAGTCCCAGGACCAAAACATTTATATTAAACTTGTCTTAAAGTGATTGAATTGTGTGCTTTTTCCATTACTGTAAATGTTTATACAAGTTTCTTATATTACAGCGCTCACCAGAAGCAGGTCTGGTGTCATTGGAGAGACGACTCGTGACTTCGTAAGAAAGGCCTTCGAAGCTGGTATCATCACAGAACAATCAGCCCAGCAGTGGCTCAACTCTTGAAGCATCACTCACTCTTCATCCAGAAAATAATCGTAGTGTTAATTTTTTGAAATACTCGACAAAATATGCCCTGGTTTATTCTTCAATTTTTTTTACATATAACTCTTATAATCATGTTGTACAATAGTGTTTCACTTAGAACTATGTAATGTAATTTATGAAGAGTGTCTCAGATATTGCTATGTACTTTAATAGCTTTTAAAAAATATTTCTTAAGGTAAAATAGATATACAAGAATACTTTCTTGAGATGTTTATTTCTTTCAGCATGGATTCTGGACTGTGTTCATGCATACTAAGTGCATAATCTTAGATACTTGTTATAAGCAATAAAGTATTTTTTCAACATTTACCTAACATAGTTTGACTTACCTTCCTGTTAGATAATACTGCTGCAAATATGATGCAAATTGGCTGTTAAAAATAATCGATGTTCCTTCTAATATCGAAGAAAATCCACCTGTGTTGTTTTATTGAGTTGTGGAAAGAATAATGCTCTTGTAATCTTTGCCTTTATTTTTATTCATTATTGCGATGTTGGTTCTTCTTCTTCTTGATTTACCGGTACTCTCCCTGTCCGGGCCTTTCCCAAGTGGTGGCCCGGCTTTGGCTCCCTTTCTTGGGAGTATCTCAAACGAATGTCTGCCATGGGAGGAGGTACAAGTACCTGCTCATCGTCGGGACCAACTGTACCCAGGCCTAGGCACATTCCCTGCTCTCACGGGGCTCGTAGGGAGAAGCTAGGACTCTGGACTGCCATCCCCGCCCCAGGGGAACTAATGGGAATAGCAGCCTTGTGAGCTGCAAGTTCTGGTTCAGGCACCTACTCTGCCCTAGAAGGATTGGGCATTGTGTCGATCTCCGATGTTGTTTTTTTTTTTTATTCGCAGGTATTCTCCCGGCCCGGGTCTTTTCCAAGTAGTGGTGACCTGACCTTGGCTCCCTATCTGGGGAGTGTCTCGAGACCTAAGTCTCCCATGGGAGGCGGTACAAGTACCCCTTCATCTTTGGGACCAACTGTCCCCAGGCCTAGCCACATTCCCCGCCCTCACGGGGCTCGTAAGGAGAAGTTAGGCCTCTGGTCTGCCATCTGCCCCGCCCCAAAGGGGCTCGTGGAGACGGCCGGTATTTTTTTTTATTTTTTTTTTTTTTGCTTTTTCTTATTCGCCGGTATTCTCCCGTATTATGACTTGTGAAACCTTGCCACATTTTTTTGCCTTATATAAAAGTATTTTATTACATTATGCAATAACCCGCACATAGCAGATGGTATTATTCCAGTCAGTCACGGAACTGTGCCCTATTTTATTTTTATATTTTAATGCAGATTTTTTAACTGTTCTAAATTAAATTTCAAGTCTTGGAAATTAATGTTATAGTTGAATAATGTTATCAGAAAGCCATGTTGTCCTAGGGCTGCCTGGCTCTCAGTGTATACACGCTGTTCATTTATTTTAATCCTTATTTTAGAGATCAAAGTATCCCCGACTGATATATGTTACATATACACGATAGACTTTAAAATCTAATAAGCCAACTACATAAATTAACGGCTTCAACGAATATTTAAAGCATTTTAGCCACTGTAGGTTCTCAAAAGAATGAGCAATGTTGGACGGCAGAAAGTTGACACGAGAGTTTTTTGAGAACTAATAAATTATAATAAATTGGGCGGCTCTACAATTGCGTTCTTACACTTGCAGCTTCCCTGTTGGAGATAATAGCTTTTAACCTGTAGTACTAGACATATTTTACAAAGTTAAAAATGATGTAAGGAAGAATACTGTAGATGTGGCTCTACGAGCACAACTCTGCTCCTGTAGTAGATAATAGGTAATTACACACACACACACTCACACACACACACACACACACACACACACACACACACACACACACACACACACACACACACACACACACACACACACACATACACACAGACGAGGTTTGATAAAGCTCATGGAGCGGGGAGAGAGAGGGCCCAGTAGCAACCGGTGAAGAGGCGGGGCCAGGAGCTAAGACTCCCCTGCAACCACAAATAGGTGAGTACAAATAGGTGAGTACACACACACACACACACACACGACCGCGCGCGCGCGCGCGCGCGCACTCACACACTCACACAGTCTGGAGGTCACAAAGTAGTAATTGAAGTGATGTATAACCCACCACAGAACAGCAGGAAGCCAAGGTAAGAGTATGATTTATTTATTTATTTATTTATTTACTAATTTGAACATGATACAGAGAAGTACAAGGAATACAATTTTTAAAGTGCAGCATGCCAAAGCCCCTTGTATGCAGAGCATTATGGGCAGGCTTAAAATTAACTTACGATTAACTAAGCAATGATATATTCAGTGGTACAAAAATTACGATGAGAACAATAGAGCTATGGTTGACGCACTGGCTGCAGAGGCCAGAAGGACTCATGCGTGCAGGGTAAAGCTCCTGATCTTGGGTGACTTTAACCACAAGGAAATCGATTGGGAGAACTTGGAGCCACATGGGGGCCAAGATACATGGAGGGCTAAGATGATGGAGGTGGTACTGGAAAACTTCATGTACCAACACGTAAGGGACACTACAAGAGAGAGAGAGAGGAGAGAATGAGCCAGCAAGACTGGACCTAGTATTCACCTGGAGTAGTGCAGATATTGAGGACATCACATATGAAAGACCCCTTGGGGCCAGCGATCATGTGGTTTTAAACTTCGAATACTCAGTAGAGCTACAAGTGGAGGGGTAAGCAGGAAGGCCAAGGCGAATGAAGCCAAACTACAAGAAAGGGGACTACACGGGAATGAGGAACTTCCTGAACGGGGTTCAGTGGGACAGAGAACTGGCAGGGAAACCAGTCAATGAGATGATGGAATATGTAACAACAATGTACAAGGAGGTTGAGGAGAGGTTTGTACCCAAGGGTAACAGGAATAATGAAAAAGCCAGGATGAGCCCATGGTTCACCCAAAGGTGCAGGGAGGCAAAAACCAAGTGTGCTAGGGAATGGAAGAAATATAGAAGGCAAAGGACCCAGGAGAATAAGGAGAGCAGTCGTAGAGCCAGAAATGAATAAGCACAGATAAGAAGGGAGGCCCAGTGACAATATGAAAACGACATAGCAGCGAAAGCCAAATCTGACCCGAAGCTGTTATACAGCCACATCAGGAGGAAAACAACAGTCAAAGACCAGGTAATCAGGCTATGGAAGGAAGGAGGAGAGACAACAAGAAGTTTGTGAGGAACTCAACAAGAGATTCAAAGAAGTGTTCACAGAGGAGACAGAAGGGGGTCCAGAAAGACGGAGAGGTGGGGTACACCACCAAGTGTGATGAATGTTTCAATCACACCACCAAGTGCTGGAGACAGTACACACAACCGAGGAAGAAGTGAAGAGGCTTCTGAGTGAGCTGGATACCTCAAAGGCAATGGGGCCGGATAACATCTCTCCATGGGTCCTGAGAGAGGGAACAGAGGCGCTATGTGTACCCCTAACAACAATATTCAATACATCTATCGAAATAGGACTGGGAAAAATTTGTCAACGGTCTTAATGCTCACACCCCACTTAGCCGGGCATGGAGGGACATAAATAGAATTAAGGGTAACAGAACTGGGCAGATCGCGCACCCTCATCCCTTACATAGGGCGAATGAGTTAGTCAGTGCTTGGGCTGCTACATCTAGCTATGACAATCTTCCCAGTACCACACAGGAAAAATTAAATGACAAATATGATGCAAGGGAGAGACTTGTTTGCTTTTGCTCAGCAAGGAAGATGACTGCAACATTCCTTTCGCAGCACTAACTAAGGGCAACTCCCCATCACCTGGTGAGGATGGTATTACTTACAACATACTCAGATTGTTGTGTCGAGTACCAGGTAATCCATTACTTGAATTATATAACATGAGCTATGTAACTGGGGAGATCCCTAAATCTTGGATCAACAGCCTCATCATTCCAATTCCTAAGCCCAATCAACAAAATGCATTTCGCCCAATATCTCTTACTAGCTGCTTGTGTAAAACATTTGAGAGAATGATTCTTAATCGTCTCATGTACAGAATCAAAAAATTTTTGTCTCCCCGGTTGCATGGTTTGATGCATGGAAGGAGCGTGTATCATTGTATAGCCACCTTTCTCACCCTGCACACTGACAGCTCATACACTACCTTCCTTGACCTTAAATCCGCTTTCGATGTAGCCAACCGACATGTAATCATTAGTGAACTTGCCAGAATGGATGTTGGAGGATGGCTTCTCCGCTGGATTAAAGGCTACCTGTCCAACAGAAAGTCGTCTGTGTTGTTCCAGGGACATAGAAGTGTAACTAAAGACTTTGAATTAGGAACCCCACAGGGAGGTGTGCTCAGTCGTCCCACACTGTTCAATATTCTAATTAATGCATTACTTAATGCTATGCCTAGTCAGCCCCATCATTATATGATTAGTTTTGCTGATGATATAATGATCCACACCACCAGATTCTCCAAAACACAAAACATTCTTAATCATGTACTAGCCTCGTGTCAGGACCTGGGATTGATAATCTCTACTGATAAAACAAAGATACTGAATAGGCGATACTGAGAGGCACAGTTCGTCAGATCCAGTTGCATGATGGGTCTCTTCTAGAATATGTAAGCAGATAATAAATAACAAAAAGGCACAATACTGTCGGTATTATATACAATTCTTGTACTACTACTACTACTACTACTACTACCTCCACCTCTTCCTGCCTATATATAGCCGTCCTGCTCCACCTCTGTTAGTGTGACTTTGTCAATGGTCCAAGTCGGACCGAAACGTCGTCGTAAGCTTCTCTCTTTTATGTGCGGGTTATTTGTGTATGTAAGCAGATACAGGTATCTAGGCTTTGAGGTTCCACTACTTGGACCTGTTGCAACAAGACTTTGTCGCCAATACAAAGAAAGACTGAGAGAGTTGTGGCTGGGTTTCACCCCAGGTATGGTGCTAATGATAAAATTGTGAAAATGGTGTATCTTGCTTATATTAGATCATTGGTTGATTATGCAGCGCCACTACTTGCTCTTGTGTCTGACTGGATGCTTGGAGGGCTGGAAAAACTGCAGAACGAAGCAATGAGGATCATTTTAGAATGCCCTCGTACTGTCAAAATCACAAAGTCACAAAGCACGCACTCTCGTAAATTATTTACGTTGACCGTTCTGTTCACCAATCCACTGGTGCAGCTGGTAGTGCTGCTGTTGTCGCACAGAGTGATGGATCTCTTAAAGAAATTGGAGCACGCATCAATAATTGGGCCTCTACCCTTCAGACAGAACTGTTTGCCATACTCTTTGCACTGAAATGCATCTATGTA